TTATAAATAAGTAAGAGCAAAAATGAAAAAAACAAATTTTAATTATTATATAATAAATAAATTTTATAATAATTATGAATAGATAAACGAACACAATTAGACAGAAAATAATGGTACCTATAATGCACTACGCTGGTTGGGTTTGATGTGATCTATATAACCCTCACTTTTATGAAAGAACAAAAAAACTCATCAGCATTTGCACGAGTTCATACTTACCCCCACAAGCAAGGATCATAAAATAATAGTAATATACTTTTGCTTGTAAATTTCCACTTCTGAATCTGATCGATTATCAATCCCAAAAAAACCGTCTTTCCAACAAAACAGTGCAATCCTTGTTGAGTACACATTTGCTCTTCTCTCCCTTGTTTTACCAGATAAGGCCAAGAATATTCTCTGCCAAATCACAAATATGAACTGGCCATATTATCTTCTCCTATTTTTAATTCTCTTGTTCTTTACGTGCAAAAGTGGGACATCCAATTTAAGTAAAGTATGTACCTTTAAATGTTCCATTGTTTGTTTGACAAGAAAAAAATACAAAAGAAAATTACCTAGCTAGATCGATCTGAATTTGAAACCCACTGTTCCATGAATTTGGAATGACTTGGGTATTTTCTTAATTAGAGGAACAGAAGTAATGGCTAACATAGGTACATCACATCATATTATCATTGTCACATGTGCATTAAAGGAACAAGCCACATGGGGGTGTGGCTCAGTTCCAACCACAGCTGCCGCCGCCACCAGTACCACCAGCGAAACATTGGTTGTTTTCTTTGGCATAGCTAGACCGCCACCATGAGCCTCTGCGAAACCTCGTTAAGTCCTACCTGCTATACTTGCGCTGTTCACGCGCAGAAGACTAGGACTTCATTCCAAATTAATTAAAAAGAAAATTGACTTTGCAGTACTATTCAATATGGTTAAGAAATCTATTTTTAAACCTTAATGAATAAATCAAGATCTCCGCCTTAATTAATGAGTACACGCACAATATAAATTATCAGATCATGTATTAGTATTGTAGAAAAACTATAAAAAAGATCACCTTACTTAATATATTAATTTTATATTTTATGATTTAATATAGTCGAAACGATAAAACATTAACATCTAATTGAATGAGTGATATTCAGCAAGGAAAATTCAATAAATACACGGAAACTGTCAATGTAAAATATTAGGATAAATGAATCAATGAATTGCCGGCACAGTTGACCACAATACTAAGGAACCGGCGTTCACATACAATGAATAATAATTAATTCTTTGTACAGAACAATATTCATCAACCAAACTGTAAATCCCTAAGAACACCTGACTTTTTTTTTTTTTTTTTTTTTTTATTTGTTGGGGATTTAATTAAACAATCGTTAATGAAGAACCCATGATCTGCTCTTCCTTGGAAATCAAGAAGCGGGGTTTCTTCGTCGGCAAGGGGCTCTCCACCTCCTGTTCGGCGTAAATTTGACTGAGTATTCCATCTTTGTTTTCATCGCAGAAGTCCGGTGAGGCCGGTTTATTCAGATCAAAGTCAAAGTCACGGTGGGTTTGGCCCGTCTGGCTATGGGCAACAGCAGCAGCAGCGGCGCCGGCGCCGCCACCGCCTTCTGACAACGTCACACCGCTGACGCTGGCACTGATAGAACTGGTGTTCCGATGATTGTTGTTATTGTTGTCCTTGCTGTTGGTGGTCCCACCTTCGTAGTGGCAGCGCTTGTGCCCTCCCAGAGCCTGACCTGTTGGGAAAGTCCTGTGGCAGATAGAGCACTCATGTGTCTTACCACCAGCCGAAGTAATCGTAGAATTATCAGCGGAGGCAGCGGCGGCGGTGCCATCGGCGGCCGAATCAGACACCGGCTTACGGTGGCTGGCCTTGTGCCCACCCAAGGCCTGGTAAGAAGGAAAAGCCTTGTTACACACGCTACACTTGTAAGAAAGCTTCAAAGCCGGCGGTGGAGGCAGAGCCGGCGGCTGGGACGATGATGAAACATCATCATCCTGTTTAGTAGAGCCACCGCGAGCTAACATGATGAGACAGAAGGCAAGGTACTCTTCTTCAGAGGCTGCAGAAGAAATATCAGAACGAGACCTTTTGGAGCGCTTCCCTTTCTTCCATGAGTCCATATCTTTATATTTATCGGCGAAAGGGGCTGCCGTGGTAGGAGAATTCAGGGCTTCAAGGGCCATATTCAATGTAAAGAAACGAGTTTCTTAAGGGAGAGAATTGAAAAGGAAGGAAAGGGAAGGGAAAGGGAAGAGTGAAAAGATTGGAGAGTGAGTGAGGACTGGGGTGGGTATTTATATATATATTTATAGAAGGGGGAGTTGAGTTGGCAGTGGGGGCAGAGTGAAGTCGGTCAACTAAGCTAAAAGCGAGGGGCTTAGGTGGTGTTATTGTTGGGGGGGGGGGGTGAGCAATGGGGATACGACTGCTTCCAAGTCAAAACCCAACACATTTTGGTCAAAAAAATTGTAAATTTCTCAAGGGGGTAATATAATTATTGCCCCAATCACACTCGATTTTTACATGCTTTTTTATGGGATTTTGATGCATATATATAAAATTAAAATGCACCCCAATGTTGATTATTGAATGCAAATATCTTTTTGTTTAAATGGGATCTTGATTAATGCTCTTATATACTATATTAATTCGTTGGATTTTTTAAAGTATAAATACAAGAGTTTTTTGAAGCACCTGAAAAAGGTTATTGGACAAAAGAAGAAAAAAATCTACATAATCAATGGATGAAATATTTTGCATTTACGAAAAAACTCAAAACATAATAA